TTTTTTTTTTTTTGAACTCGAGATAGTGCAAAGAAAAATATATGAAATTATCTCGCAGTAATGTGAAGGAATGTATATATTAATAAAGGATCTATCGTTGTTGCATTGTCAGTGCGCATAATCATTCTCAAACGAACATATAAATTTAAAGGCCTAAGTTTGCTTATATTTTTAGCAAATAATGGCATTGACAAAAATTTTTGAAAATTAGAAATAAAAAAATTATTAAGAGACTAAATGTTGATTTAATTAATAATCACAAATTACACCCGTGAAATTACTAACTAATTCAAATGCATAGTTATTTTAAAAATGAATAAAACTGTGCAATATTTTCGTAGCTGTGTAGTATTTGCAGAAAGAATTTACTCTCAGAACGATATGTAAATTATTTTTAAGAGTGGGAGAAGAGAGTGATCTGATTGGAGATAAACTTTTTTTTTTTTGCTGCAGATCAGTTAGTTTCGTAGTAAAATGTCAAATTTTGTAAAGTGGAAAAATTGTAATTGTTTATTTGAACGTGATACCCGTACTTTTTACATCAACTTACCTTTCCAGAATACTCACTGAAGAATGGAAAATTAAACGGAAGCGTTTGTTATGCCCCTTTTAACTTTTTTTTTTTGAATTAAAATGCAAAATTTTTGAGATGTAATTAAAAAAATTTATTCACCGATTTATTATGACAAATTCCCCTTCTTTCTTAATAAAATTTATGATAACTTAATTTAATCACTTCAGAACTGATTAAATCATTACATAAAAATAATAGGACAAACAGCATGTCAATCGCATGGAATGCATTTGTTATCACGGTAACCCTATAAAAACAGCCAATTTAACGAACTGACGTAAAATTTTAAAATTGAATTTAAACTACATAAGTAAAATCTCAAATGAAAACAAGCAGAATAAAATGACATTCCATTAATTTTTACAATGTATAAATCGTTATGATCTTTTGCCAAAACTACGATGAAGAAGTTATGATTGTCTTATAGAAAATTTATAGGAATTATGGGTCGATCAAATAAGCCGTCACTATTCCGAATATTCTTTTCTAATTTAAATGAACTTATAGGATTTGGAAATAAATGCATGATATATGAAAAAGGAACTGCTCGAACTATCTGAAGCGTCTCGATTCATTTAAAAACTGAATTAATTTAAAACATTTTAAAAAAACTAAAATAGCCTATCCCTTCCTCTCGTTTTTATCTTCCTATCAATGAAATGATGTCACCTACAAAACTAATAATTCTGATCATTTGAGATATTTCCTGAATATGAAAAATTTTGAAATAATTGAAAAGTTACTGTTGGTTATACTATTCATTCTTAAATAATCGCAAATCCATTCGATGATCATGCGGAAATATCACATTTCTTATTTACGTGTGTAAAGCAATTCATAAAATAAATCAAATATAAAGTATCACTATAACTTGAATGCAGTTAGAGATTTCTTCTGCAACTTCATAACACAAATACATCAGACTCCGAAAATTTTGTTGATAATAATAATAATAGTGATAATACTAGCAATAATAATAACAATACTAATATAATAATTGGAAAATCTGAATGTCGGAAAAACCGAAAATAATTCTTAACTGTAAATAAGTACCTTTGAAGAATTAGTATAATCAGATGATTGAAAATTTGATAAGGTTTTGAAGATTCATTATCTGTAATGAATATTAAATGAGTTTTATATCGTTTTTTTTTTTTGTTTGTAATTAGCAAATTCTCACTATAAAAGCTATGTCCTATCCGCTTGTTCATTTATATATTTCTTTTTCTTGCTCATTTATACAAAATTATATCCTATCCGGTTCATTTACATATTTTCTTTATGATTGTTCTTAACATCCGCTGATTTACCATTAGCATTTTTATTGTAAAATCACTCCATTCCACAGCTATCTTTGTAGCTAATCTTATTACATCATGATATGCTCATTAATTACATACTGTTTACAATTTAAACATCCAAAAATTTCACA